GGGGAGGGGAGGGGAGTGGTGGGAATGGTGGGAATGGTGGGAATGGGTGCCATCAGGCTGGTTTCGACCACCATGCAACCACAGCCACCACCACACACACACCACCACCACCACCACCACCACCACCACCACCACCACCACACACACCACCACCACCACCACCACCCCACACACACACACACCACCGCACTTGCAGGCTCACCCTCACCACCCAACCCCAAACCTCCTCCTCCTTCATATACACCCTCCGCGGCCTGCGCCCCCTCCCCCCATGCCTGCCCTCTTCACCCAGTTCACGGTGGTAGGTGCCCCGCCCCCCTCCCCCCCCCCTTCCCTCCTCCCTCTCTCCACCTCCCTCCCTCCCTCCTACACACTCACTCACTCACTCACTCCCCGGAGGACAGACGGACTATGCGGTGGTGGCCGCCGAGGCGGAGAAGGGCGTGGCGCTGACCAAGCAGATGGCATCGGTGTTCAAGGCCCTTGCCCATGCAGAGTCTGCCTACGCAAAGGCGCTCCACGAGGTAGCCACCTCGGACGCCGCCCTCTTTGCCTCGTCTAACATCTTCAAGCTTTTCTCGCAAAAGTCAGGCAGGAGATCAGACGCATTGCTCTCGCTGCAAGCCGCGTGGGATGCTGTCCTAGAGTCGATCAACTCGCGTGCCGCCCTGCACTCGCAGGTCGCTGTCGATCTCATCAAGGACGTGGCCCAGCCGCTGGGCAAGTTTGCTTCGGCCGGGCGCCTCAAGGCGCCGCTCTCGCGCGGCAAGGGCCTCCTCGCCAACCTCCGTGCCGCAGAGTCGGCGTACACTTCGGCAAAGGCCTCGTTTGCAAAGGCCAAGGTCGAGCTGAAGCGCGCACGCCGCGCCTACGTCACCGAGCCGGACCTCGACAGGAAGCGTAGGCTGGAGGCCTCGTACGCCGCCGCGCGCAAGACCGCCTCCTCCGCGCGCAAAAAGCTGGTCCGCGCCCACAAGGCAGCTCGCACCTTTGCCGACGCCCTCACCACCTCCAAGCTCCCTGGCGTGTACGCGGCGCTGGAGGATCTCGAGCGCGACCGCGGCTCGACCGTCAACTCGGTCCTCCACCGGTTTGTCTCCATCTCTGGCTCGGTCGTCCCAGCCATCAAGACTGCGTGCTTTGCCCTTTACTCGTCGGTTGGGGCCGTCGACGTTGACGCCGACCTCGCCGCCTTTGTCGCTGCCCACAAGTCATCTCTGGATCCGACCAGCATGGCGCTCATTGCTCCGCTGGATCCGGCCGAGCTTGATGACGTCGACCTGCAAGGTGACGACGCTCGCGATGAGCACGGCAGTGACAGCGGCAGTGGCCGAGATGGCGAGGATGTCGACGCCGGCGACACTGACAACGCCGACAACGCTTACGATGACGAGTACGACGACGACGACGGCGACGACGACGCAGACTCTAGTGAGAGCGTCGACGACAATCGAACCACCGTTGCAGAGGCGGCAGCCGCCCCGAAGCAAGGAAAGGTCGCACAGGACACCGGACGCGATGCAGCTGATGCACGCGGCCGGGAGCGCGTCGAGTCGGCAGGCTCGGCCGTCGGCGCAGCCGTCGACTCGGCCACAGGCTCGGCCACCGACTCGGCACTCGACTCGGCGCTCGACTCGGGTGCAGGATCTGCTGTCGGAGCCGCAACCCTCGCCACGCCGACGGCCTCGCCGTACGCCTCGGTTGCAACCGCAGGCGACGAGGTAGTGTCCTCGTCCGAGTACGAGACCGACGACGATGTCGCTGCGTCCGCCATTCAAGAGCTGATCCAGCGGCGGGCGCGCGCCGAGTCGGAAGCCGCTGCGGAAGCGGCGGCGTCGGTGGCGGCCGATGCGTCATCGCCGGAGAGCGAAGAGGAGGAGGATGCAGCTGTGGCTGCAGCGACTGCGGCCGCAGCAGCGCGGCGTGAGAGACAGCGACTGCGAAAGGAGCAGATGGCGGCCATGGCGGCGGCGCGGGCGCGGGCGTCGGGTCCCATCATTGCCGCCGAGGACGACGACGACGACGGCGGAGCCGGCCGCGGGCGCAAGGCCGGTGCCAAGGCCAAGGCCAAGG